GAATTGATCAATAGATACTGTCTGGGCAGGAAGGTAAACGGCATGCCATGCAGTCATGCTGGCCGTGTGACGTAGGATATGTCTATGGATGATGCGGGCTCTTCAGCTTAGAAATGGAGATGAGCACCACCCCCCAGAGCTGGAGATAAAAGGGGTAGCCTTTACCTTTAGCGCTGTGTATCTGTGTTTCATTGTTTCTAGGCATTTAATATTTGTCTTTGTGTCTGTATATGCAGGGATCCACCCTGAGTCCCCTCGGGAAGACAGGGCTGAATACAAATAAAATATTATTATTATTATTATTATTATTATTATTATTATTATTATTATTATTTCTTGTCTGAGAAAACCCTATGAAATTAAAAGGGTCATCATAAGTGCAACCTGAATGCACATATTGATCCAAGCTGTCTTTTACATGCCTTTCTTTGGTTATTTTTCATTGATTTGCGGCTTGAAAGAAAAGGGAGGAAACTTGGTTACTATCCAGTTTGCCTATGCTTTCTTTCCAGTTTTGTAGAAATGTGTCTTACTTGGGATAGTAAGTTGAGTAAGTGGCTGTTTACAGGCTTGCTCAGTTTGCGTTATTTATATGACAGGCAATGTGTTCAAATGGGGCCGTACAGGTGTCGCACTAAGTTGATCTTGCCAGAGCAAGCTGGAACATCAGGGAGGGACCTGTTATTTAACAGCGTTGGGCCCCAAGCCATCAAGGCCTTTTAGGTCACACTCAAAGCCCTCTTGTGTAGCACTTTGGCAGCTATTTCTATTTATTTGGCCTGTTGTCCAGGGAAGGAAAACAGGCTCGGAGGCGTGGTTGCAGAATAACTCATGGCAAAGATGGCCAAGTCAGAGTCTCTGATGACGATGGGAATTAGAAGAATTTGGATGTTCAGTGATCAAAACATCTTCAATCTGATAAACAAGGGGATTGAAGAGGAATTCTCCTTCAGGTGTTTTTTTTTTCTCTTTTGGGGATAAACAACAAAATGCAAGATTGTTGTGCTTTCTTTTATGAAGAGTACAAAAATATTGCATTCTGTCTTCCACATCCTTTAGTCTTTCACATTCAGGGATGGAATTTGGTCCACATCTTTTCTTTTGATTAAAACAATACTCTTGTTTTCCTCTCCTTGTAGATTTGAAACTGCAGTCATAATAATTCTGCTTTTTATTATGGAGTGAAAGGAGGCATATAATTGGCTTTTTAGAAGAATTCTAGAGTGTTTTTGCTGGTGGTGCAAGACATTATGCACTTTTCCTTCTCCAGATGTTTCTTTTCCTCTGTTCTTCAGCAGTATTGGAGGGTGTACAGATGTATCTAGGTCTTTCTCCAGATCAACAGTGAGAATCTGAAGATAACAATGTCCTTCTGAATGGGAACAGTAGCACAGTTCATCCACAATTTCCTTTTTTATTTCAAGAGTTCAGTTTGAACCATAGTTGGCATCTTGGTATTTATCACATTGCCAGGGCTCTTCCAATATTTAGGCAGAGATGAACCAAACAAAAATCCAGTTTGTATGAAATAATTTTTATTAAAACAGCACTTACTTTCTGGCTGTTTTAATAGTCCAAAACATAAAACATAAAGAAAGTAGTCAGCCACAGAATATAAAACAAAAATAGCAAACACTGTTGCAGGTTCAAGATAACTCCATAGTCAAAAGGTCCAGTCCAGTGGTGAAACGCTGAGAGTACAACAAACGAAGTCCAGGGGTCAAGAGTCTATGCTGTAGTCAAAAGCCAGTCCAAAGGTTCAAGGTTCCAGGATTCCAAAGGTTCAGGAAACAGGTCAGGACACTGAAGATCCACAAATCTGGGGGAAAACCAGCAGCATCTACCACCAAGATAAAACAAATACTTTTCTCCCAAAGATCAGTCCCAAGGCTAGCTCATTATATCCAGAAACACCCAGCTGCAACCCATCTCTTGCATACCTCCAACCTTAACTGCTTTCACCCATGAACTCTTACTTACAGATTACCAAACCCTTTAGAACTAAGACTTACATTAACCCTTCCATTACCAACTTCTAGGCCTGCCACCACCAACCACCATCAACTGCAGAACATGATACATGCCAGTATTCTCCTCTAAATGTTTTAGACTTCCCATAACCCTACTTAACAATGATTATGGGAGTTGTAGTTCCAAACACGGGGGTAGGTGTTAGTACCTACATTCATACCAAGGATCTTTCTCTAGTACAGATTCCTGTTTTTCATGGTGATCTGTCGCCATCAGAAAGCCCTCAAACAGGGCATGAAATCTAAAGCCTTCCCATGTTGTGTATCTTCAATGTTGGTATTCAATGCATTTCATCCTCTGAATAATAGGAATAACTTCTTTCCATGGAATAGGAAGCAAAGATTGTTTGGGAAATCTATAACATGGATCTATGTTTTGTCTGAGAGCCAGGGTTGTATATTGGCTATGAGTAACTAGACAGGGGGCGTGTGTCCCTGTTGGTTCTGCTGGACCTCTCAGCGGCCTTCGATACCGTCGACCATGGTATCCTTTTGGGACGCCTCGCAGGAATGGGCCTTGGAGGTACTGTTCTGCAGTGGCTCCGGTCTTTCCTAGAGGGTCGTTCCCATAAGGTGTTGTTGGGAGATTCCTGCTCGACCTCACAACCATTGCCTTGTGGGGCCCCGCAGGGGTCAATACTATCTCCCATGTTATTTAACATCTACATGAAGCCGTTGGGAGAGATCATCCGGAGTTTCGGAGTGCGGTGTCACCTGTACGCAGATGATGTCCAACTCTGTCACTCTTTTTCACCTGCTACTAAGGAAACTGTCCAGGTCCTGAACCGGTGCTTGGCCGCTGTGACGGTCTGGATGAGGGCGAACAAATTTAAATTGAATCCAGACAAGACAGAGGTCCTCCTGGTCAGTTGAAAGGGTGAACAGGGGGTAGGGTTACAACCTGTGTTGGATGGGGTTACACTCCCCCTGAAGACGCAGGTTCGCAGTTTGGGAGTAATCCTGGACTCATCACTGAGCCTGGAACCCCAGGTCTCGGTGGTGGTCGGGAGAACTTTTGCACAACTAAAACTTGTGCGCCAGCTGTGCCCGTTCCTCGGGAAGTCTGACTTGGCCATGGTGGTCCACACTCTGGTTACATCCCGTATAGACTACTGCAACGCTCTCTACATGGGGTTGGCTTTGAAGACTGTTCAGAAGCTCCAAATTGTCCAATGGGCGGCAACCAGGTTGCTAACAGGAGCGGCGCCCAGGGAGCATACCACTCCCGTGTTGCGCCAGCTCCACTGGCCGCCAATTTGCTACCGAGCTGGCTTTAGCCTATAAAGCCCTAAACGGTTCTGGCCCTGCTTACCTGTCCGAACGTATATCTCCTTACAAACCCTCTGGAAATTTAAGATCTTCTGGGGAGGCCCTGCTCTCGGCCCTACCATCTTCACAGGCTCGATTGGCGGGGACGAGGGATAGGACCTTCTCAGCGGTGGCCCCTCGGTTGTGGAATGCCTTCCCCAGGGACATTAGATCAGCCCCCACCCTCTTAACGTTTCGCAAAAAAGTTAAATCCTGGCTATATGAGCAGGCCTTTCCAAACGCAGTGTAGCTATTAAACTCTGATCTCGGAACGGTTGGACAACGTGACTGGATAATGACTGGTAATGAAATGCGGAGGACTTACGGTTTTTTTAAAATATATATTTTTTATTTGGAATATGTTGCTCCTCAGATGGAGCGGATAGAAAGAAGTAAATTAATCAAAAATAGGGTTACTTACATGGAAAGAGTGAGAACAATGTTTTCAGTAAAGTTGGAAACATAGACGGGGAATTGAGGAAGGGGGAAAGAGGGAAAGAGAAGAGACAGAAGATAAAAAAAGGAAAAAAAGGGAAAAAAAAGAAAAGTGTCTGTTAAAATACTTCCAGGAGTTCCCTAGGCAGATAATTGGGAAATAAACATTGAATTAATCCCTTTGTTATATTTTCTTGTTATTTATTCATCGGCTTCCCATTGATAGTCCGTTGAGCTTCTTCTCTGTAGACTGCTGATATAAATTTCCTTATTTGTGTTTCTTATATACTACAGAAAATTTCTCCAATCCATCTTGGGTAGTTTCACTATATTCCGTGATATTCTTAGCGTTAAAATATCCATATTCATAATATCCATACTTTTAACAACCATTGTTCCACTGTGGGGGTTTCCTTAGATCTCCAAACTCTGGCTATTACTATCCTCACCGCAGTGGACTTATAGTTTTTATTGTGTTACTGATGTTAATTGTAGTGAATTTTTACCTGTGTTAAATGTTTTTAATGTTTACATTATTTTTGTACTGTTGTGGGCATCGAATTGTGCCGTTTGTAAACTGCCATGAGTCGCCCTCGGGCTGAGAATGGCGGTATAGAAGCATAGTAAATAAAATAAATAAATAAAATAAAGTCCGAATCCACATTCAGGCACAGAAACCCACAGGGAGACTTTGGGCATGCCATACTCTCAGCCTCAGGGGAAGGTAAAGCCAAGCCCCCTCTGGACAAACTTTGCTAAGAGAACATCATGATACGCTTGCTTAGGGTTGCCGTTAGTCAGAAATGACTTGAAAGCATATGAGATTTGCTGCTTGCAAAAAGAATGCAAGAAGGCACAGTCAAGATTACTCATTTGTCCCTATGTTGAAATGTTGTCATGTTAAAAATAAATAAAAGAGGAAGTGTGTTTTCATCCTAAGAAACTGTTATTGTGTGTCTTTAAAAGAAAACAAAACAGAAACCATGCACATAGCAGTTGTTTTTGACTACATGTACATTGCAGTCTTAAGCATAATTACTCAGTGTTTACTTTTTTGCAAGCAGGTTTAGGAGTTTTCCTGCTTAGTTAGTATGAAGAACTTAGATGTTCGTTCATACTAAATGTTTCCATGTTAACTGAGTTCGTGCACAGATAGTATCTGTAATCTTTTCTGTTGTAAGTGAATGGTTGGTGCATCCTAGTCACCTTTTCTTCTCCCTCCTCTAGGTACCCGAATCATCTATGACCGCAAGTTTCTGTTAGATCGTCGCAATTCTCCAATGGCACAAACCCCTCCGTGCCACCTTCCAAATATCCCAGGAGTTACCAGCCCTGGTTCCATGACTGAGGATTCCAAAGTGGAAGTAAACAACCTGAACAATCATGATGGAAAGGCTATAATTGGTAAGAACAGGAATGGAACTATGGCACAGTTCTCCATGTTCACTTACATCCTTAAGTTATGTCAAAAATGCTATTTATCTATTTCCAAAAGTCCAGTGACTACTCAATCACTGGACTTTTGACAAGCAAATTACAGTATTAGTACATCTGTAGGGCCAAGAAAGTAACATGCCTAGTTCTTCATGGCAGAAATTTTGAGCATTTGATTCCTCAAATGTTTCGAATTTCAGCTTCCAGAATCCCATTGGCCATGCTGGTTGGAACTTTTGAGAGCTGAAATCCCAAACATTAAGAGGACCAACATTTATAAGAAAAACTAGCCGTCTCCTGCCAGGTGTTGCTGTCGCCCAGTCTGGTGATCTGGAAAATAATGAGAAGGTGTTGATTTCTAATATATGTAATGTCTTTATGCTTGTGGGTAAGCAGTATATCTTGTTGTTTCTATATCAGTGTTGATGTGGAGATGGTCTGGTTTGCCTACTCTGGAACATGCAACATATCATAGTCCTTCTTTAGGAGTCCCTTTCAAATCTATGATACTATATCTCTGTGTGTGAGTCATATATATATATCTATATCTATGGCTGGATGGCTCTTTGTCAGGAGGGCTTTTTTTACGTTTTCTTGCCCCGGTGAAGGGAGTTGGACTGGATGGCCTTAAGTATTTTCTGAAGAGATAGATCCAGGATAGGACTATCTGTGCTGGTGTTTAGAATTACTTTCAGAGAAGCAATCCTGTCAGTAATCTGTGGAGGGAGAGAGAAGTGTTCCTGTGTAAGTCTGAACTGCTTAAAGTAATCACACACTTTTAAAGTCAATATTTTGAAACAGCTAAGCTTTATACCTGAATTGTTCCAGTTCTCTTAAATAAACATCTTTGTTTTGTTGTTCACAACATCTGCCTCACGTGTGCCTCTGTGGGTGAAGTTTTAAAAGTAGTTTCCTGCAGCAATCAAGAGTCTATGGTGGCAGTGTATGTTTTGTGTTTCTGTTACCTCACAAACACAAGCCTGAGTGCTAAATCCAACATACTCTTGCCTAAAATACTTCCAGTAAGCCAAGGGCTTATCAGTACTTTTAAGTTGGAATGGAATGAATTTATGGATTCTGAGTTGGCGAACGTTGAATATTATATTGGTTTTATTGATTGTTTTAATTGTTTAATAATTGCTTTTGATACATGTTTTATTTTATTGTTGTTGTTGGCATCGAATTGTGCCTTTTGTAAGCCGCCCTGAGTCCCCCCTCGGGGGTTGAGAAGGGCGGGGTAGAAGTGCGCGAAATAAATAAATAAAATAAGTTTGGTGGTGGCCAGAGAATTTTCCAAAGGTTTTTCATTCCAGCTTTTCCTTACAGCTTTTTGTTTTGGGGGCTTTTAATCACAGAAGCCACATTTCAATCACAAGTGGTGTTCTGCCTTTAAGGATTTTATTCTCTTCGAATAAGCCCCCACCTTTTTATTATACACGTCGTGTTAATATTGTCATGTATTGAGAACGTCTGCCTTTAGTGCCTGAGAACTCAAGGCTCACCAGCACAACCTGCGGCCAGGTTCTGGCTTGGGAAATGATGAAGGGTCTGGAGAACAAGCCCTATGAGGAGCGGCTTAAGGAGCTGGGCATGTTTAGCCTGAAGAAGAGAAGGCTGAGAGGATACATGATAGCCATGTATTAATACATGAGAGGAAGTAATAGGGAGGAGTGAGCAAGCTTGTTTCTGCTTCCCTGGAGACTAGGACGCGAAACAATGGCTTCAAACTACAAGAAAGGAGATTCCATCTGAACATGAGCAAGAACTTCCTGACTGTGAGAGCTGTTCAGCAGTGGAACTCTCTGCCCTGGAGTGTGGTGGAGGCTCCTTCTTTGGAAGCTTTTAAACAGAGGCTGGATGGCCATCTGTCAGGGGTGATTTGAATGCAATATTCCTGCTTCTTCACAGGGGGTTGGACTGGATGGCCCATGAGGTCTCTTCCAACTCTTGATTCTATGATTCTATGATGTGATATAAAAATTGTGAGGTTGTGGGATTGGCTTCCCTGAGACCCCTAGTATTGATTTTTTGCCTCTTCTTCTCCTTGACGCAGGTGATGATGCTCAGTTTGAGATGGACATCTGATCTTCCTTGAAGGTAACCATGGAAAGACAGCAACTCCTGATCACCTGTGCACATCTGATTTGGCCAACAGGATCAATAACGTGAAGAGTGGTGGAAGAAGAAGAAGAAGAAGCTGTTTCCACTCGAGTCCTCACTTCATCTTTGGAAGTGCCAAAGGATAAAGGGACTGTTCCCCTCCCTGATTCCCATTAGCCATACCATGCTTTCCCTGTTTCCTCTGCTTCCCTCCAATTCCCTCCTCTTTTTTTTTTTCTATCTCCTCCCTGGTCTGTGATTGATTCAAGCCTGTGATAAATTTATACAGCTGAGGAACATACCTTGGCTTCTCGCACTTTAAAGGCAACTTATCAAATCATACACATGCGAGAACTTAAGATGCCCATCAACAATTTGGTATTTATTGCAAAACACAAAGGGCCACGGGAGGGAGGGGTGGATTTATGCTTGAAGGGACATGACATTGTCGTTCTCCTCCCCTTCATCTACTGATAACTTGATACCAATTTTTTTTTCTGTGTACCTTTTATTGGTGTGCAGAATGCACTCCCTTTGGTTCTAAGCCGCCTTTAAAACTTTTTTTTTTTTTTAGTACACAAATCTTTACATATGGGCACATCATATGGTGGGGGTTTTGTCCCCTAGAACAGCATTGCTGACCTTAATAAATTCCTGTAACTTTAGAACAGACGGACAATTTGAAAAGCATTACTCTAGGATATATCCATTTTCTTTTCCATTTCATCTCATCCCAAAGATTGCCGCATAGATCATGCCATTTTTCAGTTTCCTTGTTTCCATCAGTGTTAAATAGGAACCACATTTTTGTTCTGATATAACCTTGGGAATACCATGCTTGATGGTCCTCAGTCTGTTGTTTTTTTTCTCTTTCCATATTTGCTGCTGTTTAATTTCTGCTGGTTTCTTTGCAAGTCTATTATTGTGCCAAAAGGATTAATTGAAATAACCTGGCTATGCTTGACTAAGATGGGCTTGGCAAGAGTCTGATGCTCTTGGGAAAGTCCTGTGTAGACTTGGGCCTCGCTAACAATTACTTGTCTGCATTGCGAATTTCATGATGCGTGACTTCAGTAGATGTGGACAACCAAATAGTAGGCAGTTATTTCCTGCTGTCCTCTGGGAAGTAAAACCCACCCACCTGTTTTGTGGTCACCATCTTATTGGTTGCATCTTTCCTGAATTCACACATTATTAAATCTGCCAGAAGAGGCATAAAATTTGAGCCTGTCCGGGACCAGTTTCAACAGGCAGGAAAAAGTTGCTGATGGTCTCATTTGATTCCATTCATCTAGACTTGTTGCCCAATTGCTATCTATTTGTAGTCCATTTATATACTGATTAGGGTGGACTTCCCCCCGTGGATTGGTGCTTTAACTGGGATAGAAAAGGCTGTTTGTGGGTGGCGAGAGATAATGTGTGATAGAATCTATAGCAGGTATGGGCAAACCCAGACTTGGGGGCTGGATACGGCCCCATGGGCTCTTTTCTCAGGCCCTCCTCTCGCTCACCATCCTATCTTTCTTTCCTTCCCTCTTTCCTTCCTCTTTCCCTCACTCTTTCTCCTTCCCTCCCACCTTTTCATCTTTCCTTCCTTCCCTCTCTTCCTGTTTCTCCTTCCTCCTTTCCATCTCTCCTTACCCTTCCTTCCTTCCTTTACCTTTTTCTCTTTCTTCGCTTCCTTTGCTCTGTGGTTCTTCCTTCCTTTCTCTTCCTTCCTTCCTCTTTCCCTCTCTTTTTCTTTCCTTTCTCTCCTTCCTTCCCTCTCTCCTTCCTTTTCCTTCCTTCCTTCCTCCTTTCCTTCCTTCCTTCCCTTCCCCTTCCTTCCTTCCCTCCTTCCTTCCTCCCTTCCTTTTCTTTCCCTTCCTCTTTTTCCTTCCTCTCTCCTTTCTTCCTTTCCTCCTTTTCTTCCTTTCTTCCTCCTTCCTCTTCTCCCTTCTTTCCTTCCTCCTTCCTATCCTTCCCCCCTTTTGTCAGTTCGCCCTTCGAGCTATCCTCCCTCCGTACCTCTCGCTTCTATTTCACTTCCTCTTTTTCCTCCTCACTTCACTCACTCGTTTCTCTCCCTCCTTCCACCCTTTCATCTTCCTCCTTCCTCTTTCTCCTTCCTTCTCTCTCTTTATCCTTCCCTTCCTTCCTCCTTCCCTTCCTTCCTCCTTTTTCCTTCTTTCCTTTCCTTCTTCATCCTTCTTTCCTTTTGTCTTTCCTTCCTTCCCTCTTTCCTCCCTCCTCCCTCCCTTTTCCCTCTTCCTTCTCCTTTCCCTCCCTTCTTTCCTTCCTTCTCTCTTTCCCTCTGTCCCTTTCTCCTTCCATCCTTCCCTTCCTCCCTTTCATCCTTCCTTCCTTTTCTTTTCCCTTCCTCCTTACCTCTCTTTCTGCTTCCTTCCTTCCCTCCCTCTTTCTCCCTCCCTTCCTTTCCACCCTTCCTTCCTTCTCTTTTTCCTTCCTGCTTCCCTTCTTTCTTTCCTTCTTTCCATCCATCCATCACCGGGCAGCCAGTGCTAGCATGCGGCCCCCAAGCTAGAAAGTTTGCCCATGCCTGATCTATAACCAACTGCAATAATGCCAATTGCCATGTGGAGGGGGACGACGGCGAGTGATTTGTATTCAGCCAATAGATACATTTATGCCTTGGTTGTGGTGCCACCCAATCGCTGAACCAAGAAAATGTTTTTTCCCTAAATCTGTAAACCTTCGTCTCTTTAATTGGCTAGACTAACACATTAAAAGCTTTTTTGGGTTGATTTTATAATGCCCCGGAGAAATCAAATGGGAGATTTTTTTTATTTTTGCTAACTTTTTTTTTTGTACAAATGCTTCACAAGAAGGCAACCAGAGAGACATTCCTAGAGGAATGCTTCTTCTCAAACAGTGCTTCCTGCACAGGCATCAGAAACAAAGTTTCCCCCCCAACTCATTTGACACACATCAGAATCGTAATGTTTACTTGGAAGTCAATCCCACAGTGTTCAATGCGCCTACTCCTTTGTTAGTGTGTTTGTAGAATAAGATCTATGAGGACGGAGAAGGGAAACCCTTGGCCATCCTAGATGCTAGTCCATCCGCATCTAGAGGACCATACTTTCCCCACTCTGACTCCGAACTGCTTTAATGAAATGCCAGCTTTACTTCTTCCAGTTTCCCAGTGGGTGATTGTTGCCTCTGATTATTTCAAGGAATGGCTTATATGTGCCCTATGTTAATGTTTTGAGAAACAAGATGATTGGATCATAACAGAAGCTGTTGTATCAGTGGTGCTGACTCTCCCTCGCCACCCCACTGGGGCCGCTTCCGTTGCTGATGTTGCAATTTCCTCTATGTTTTTTGTCCAAATATAACTGAAACGGTATAGGACCCACCCTCGGGGATGGGGCAGTCGCACTATGATTCTGATGTAAGAGACAATCCTGGGAGATAAGCTGTGAGAAGGTGGTGAGTCCCATTAAATAGAAACCTTTCAAGTGACAGAGAAGACCTCTGCTCTACTTGTGGAGTTGTCATTTTTTCTGACCCTTGGAATAGACTTTTAATTGTCCAAAGACCCCAATTTCCTTTACTTGGAGATTTAAAAAAGGAATAATTGTGCTTTCATTGCATGGTAGTTTCGTAAGCCAGGAGAAATCTACAATACTATAGTTTTAATTTTTTTTCCTACTCTAAAATGTGAATAATACAGGAACAAAATTGCTTTGTAACTGTTGATCTCTCAGGAATAGTCTCTGTTTGCAGTGTTTCCGGGGAGGGCAATGCTGCCTCTGAACTGATGGTGAAGAGTGGCTAAGCTGTGATTCGTGCTCTTGAGAGTATTTCCAAAGCGCACTGCAGGTTCCGCCCAAGGTTCAGAACACAGTTGGATTTCCATCCTGCCTCTCGCATTATTATCACCAGCAGTTGCTTCTGGAACCTCGCCGCCTATTCTGTCGATGAGGCAGAATGGATACAGCTTTGCTCTGTGCTGCTGACAGTACAACTCAGATTTGACCATGAATTAAACTCGTTTAGTTGGTGGTTAAGGTGGAGGAAGAGAGATATAGAACTTAAAGGTCACTATTCTCATCATAGGGTTTCTTCCATACATTTTTAGCGAAGGCAGTAGCTACGAGGGGTATTTTTTAAGTAAGGTCCGTTTTGTTGTAGACACTAGTAGTTCGCGCGCATACCGCAACGAGCGCGTGCGTCGTGTACTGGCATGCCTCGGGAACAACTGTGCTCAGTTTCCGCTCTGTAGCTAACCTGTATGGTTCTGTTCTGTGCTTTAAAAATGTTTAAGACTATCAACTCACCCGCCGCATGTCAGGTTCGCTCAGTTATACGGTTTTTGTCAGCAAGGAACCTGCCTGCTGCAGAAATTCATCGACAGATTTGTGAAGTGTACGGTGATACTGTTATGAGTGAAAGCAAAGTGCGTAAGTGGGTACGACAATTCAAAGATGGCCATGACAACGTCCATGATAAGGACCGCTCCGGTCGCCCTTCTTTGATTACAGATGATTTGATGTCTTCAGTTGAAGCGAGGATTCGTGAGAACAGGCGCTTCACAATAACAGGTCTCTCAAACGAATTTCCTGACGTGTCGAGATCAGTGCTTTACAACATTGTTTCTGAACACCTAAAGTTTAGGAAACTGCTCCCGTTGGGTCCCGAAACTCCTAACAGAGGACCACAAAAACCAAAGATTTGAGTGTGCGATCAAATCAAATCGTCTGTAATCAAAGAAGGGCGACCGGAGCAGTCCTCATCATGGACGTTGTCACGGCCATCTTTGAATTGTCGTACCCACTTACACACTTTGCTTTCACTCATAACAGTATCACCGTACACTTCACAAATCTGTCGATGAATTTCTGCAGCAGGCAGGTTCCTTGCTGACAAAAACTGTATCACTGAGCGAACCTCACATGCGGAGGGTGAGTTGATAGTCTTAAACATTTTTAAAGCACAGAACAGAACCGTACAGGTTAGCTACAGAGCGGAAACTGAGCACAGTTGTTCCCGAGGCATGCCGGTACATGACGCATGCGCTCGTTGCGGTATGCGCGCGAACTACTAGTGTCTACAACAAAATGGACCTTACTTAAAAAATACCCTCGTATTTAGGTGAGCAGTGCAGCACATTTTCTCAAGGGAATGTAACTTCGGTTTGCAAAGGCTGCTATAGCCTCTGTTGTTTGTCCTACAAACTACACTGTCATATAAAATCCAGATTATCTGTTTTGAACTGGAATATATGAGTCTACCATATAATCCAATTCAAAACAGATAATCTGGATTTTATATGGCCTTAGAGAAGGGAGGATATTTTAATAGTCCAGTGCTTGACTGAGACGTCAACAATCAGATGTCTTTCTCTTCTCTGTTGAAGGTTCCTTTGTGTGTCTCTGGGGAAGTCTCTTCAATCTCTTTGTGCCTCAGTTCCCCACTGTCAAAATGGGGGGCCGTAGACTCCTACCTCACAGGGTTGTTGTGAGGATACATTTGTTGATATTTGTAAGGCACTCAGAAGAAGTGAGTGGTGAGTGCTGTAAAGAAGCCAATAAATTTTACTTTCTTTTAAAGCCCAGCAAAATGGTCCGGTCATCGCTGTGATGGCAACGAGGCTGCCTTCTCCCTGGATTATCTCTCTCTAAATTCTTGATCAACTAAGGCAGGGTGGGTTGTTTTTTATTTATTTATGGGGCAATAGCCGAAAAAACTGCATAGAGCAAAGGGCTTCTTAATCTTTTTCCTTCACAAAACCTCTGGCAGAGTTGTTACCCGTTATGCATTTCACTCACTTGCTGCTGATGTCTTCAAATGCTCAAAAATGAGAGTACAGGCTCATTAAAAACACTTTTGTCTTCCGGGGTCCATATGGAAAGCTACCAAGGACTGGGTTGAGCCCCTTGGCCTGCTATTTGCCTGTCATTTTTTCTAGAAGTACAAACTCAGATACAGAATCAACAGTATGATTCATTGTTTCATTCAGAGACACATTCTGTGCTTCCATGTGCTGTTGGAAATAGGGGTTGAATGGCCAGAGAAGCAATGCAACGACCCAGTTGATAGATCAAACTATGCTGATTGATGCTTCACCGTAATATATTCAATGACTTGAAATGTTTCAAAATGTCAGCATCCACTTG